ACAGTGCGACAGTATACCAAACAACTGCCTGTCAACTTCTACAATATACCGTCATCTCAGAAAATTCACAAGTAGGCGATAGCATAATGTACTGGGAGTTTCTGTATCAGGGGAGTGGGGCTGAGGGGAGGGCTACTTGGAGGTTCATGGTACTTACTAACCGATTATAGCTGTACTTATAACCCTACTTATAATACCCCTAAAGGGCCTTATAGGGGTTATCCCACTTATAAGTAGGGTTATAAGTACAGTTATATTTGGTTAGTAAGTACCATGAACCTTCAAGTACATCATCGGTGGGGCTACATCATCGGTGCAGAGGGAGGCCGATGGCAAGTGAGAGGTTCGTCGAGCCCTCCCGGCACCCCCCCCCCCCCCCACCCCACCCTCACCAAAAACAGAGGGTTGGGGTTAGGGTTGAGGTTAGATGTAGAATTCGGGTTTAGGGGTGAGGGTTGCGGGTTGAGAGCTTACTTTGAGAAAGAAAGTCGCTTTAGGGCACTCCCGAAAGCGCAGTGAAACCATAAACTCCGTAGCAAAACCCAAAAACCCAAAAACCCTAAAACCCTAAACCCCTACAACCCTAAAACCCTAAAACATTAAAACCTTAAAACCCTAAAACCCCAAAAACATTAAAACCCCAAAGCCCTAAAACCCTAAAACCCTAAGACCCTAAAACCCTAAAACTCCTAAAACCCCAAGACCCTAAAACCCCCCAAAAAAACCCTAAAGAACCCAAAACAAAAACCCTAAAACCCTAAGACCCTGAACCCTAAACCCTAAAAATCCCACAGCCCAAAGTATCCCGCCGAAGCTCGTCGTCCAGCGCCAGCCGAGCAGGTCCCGCTTCTTTGTCCTAAAATTTAGGGTTTAGGGTTTAGGGTTTAGGGTTTAGGGTTTAGGGTTTCGGGTTTAGGGTTTAGGGTTTAGGGTTTAGGGTTTAGGGTTTAGGGTTTAGGGTTTAGGGTTTAGTGTGGGGGGTAGGGTTTAGGGTTTAGGGTTTAGGGTTTAGGGTTTAGTCAGGGGTAGATATAAATAGGGATGTGTGTAGTCGCCTTCGGGTTTCAATTTTTTCTGCCGTTGCTCCATTTGCATCCCGCAACATGAACTTTCAAGATCCAGGCAGTAAGACTCGTACCGCTAAGGTTGTACACCTAAACGTTCCCCTGAGTATACTCCTAGCATGGCCGTCAGACTCTCTTAAGGATCTTAAACCAGCGTCCCCCAAAACAAGGGTATAACCTTAAGGGACCCTTACACCCCAACAATAGAAAAATTAAAATAACATATTCCTTACAAGGGTAATACAGGGAGTACTATTCTTTGCTTTTGGGGGGGGGGGGGGGCTCTTAAGCAAACAGTAGTTAAGGGAGAGTCCCGTGACGAGTATGGTCGGCTCGGCTTGTTCCTTCACGAGCATTCGAGGTGTAGAGGCTTTCGGCAGTTTAGGGTTAAGATGAGTAAACCTTAAACCCCAAACCCGAAACCCGAAACCCTAGATCCGGTATCTCTCTGGGGTCTTCGGTGTTTAGGGTTTAGGGTTTAGGGTTTAGGGTTTAGGGTTTAGGGTTTAGGGTTTAGGGTTTAGGGTTTAGGGTTTAGGGTTTAGGGCTTGAGGCTGCCTCCTGGTCGTCAGCCAGCTTCGCAAGCGCTGCAGCCTCTGCAGGCTGTTAGGGTTTAGGGTTTGGGGTTTAGGGTTTAGGGTTTAGGGTTTGGGGTTTAGGGTTTAGGGTTTAGGGTTTAGGATTTAGGGTCCATGTGTGTAAGTCTCTGGTTCCTACCACTGCCGACCAGAGAAAAAAACAAAAAAAACAACGCATCTTTCCGAGCGGATCAGAGAAACGAACGTCCATAAGCTCAAAGCTCAGAACCTCAAACCCTAAACCCCAAACTCTCTTGAAAATGTGCCTAAATTTGATCTCATCAAACCCTAAACCCCAAACTCTCTTGAAAAACGTTCCGAAGTCTGATCTCATTAAACTGAACCTAGTTAGGGTTTAGGGTTTAGGGTTTGGGGTTTAGGGTTTAGGGGGTTTAGGGGGTTTAGGCGGTTTAGGGGGTTTAGGGGGTTTAGGGGGTTTAGGGGGTTTAGGGGGTTTAGGGGGTTTAGGGGGTTTAGGGGGTTTAGGGGTTTAGGGTTTAGGGTTTAGGGTTTAGGGTTTACGGATTAGGGTTTAGGGTTTAGGGTTTAGGGTTTAGGGTACTATCTTCACTAAGCCTCAAGCTCGGAAGACCTTATTGCCTGCATTCGCATGGGGAATAAGGTGACATCCTAAACCCCAAAAACAAACCCCCTCGCCCACCCACCCCCCTCCCCATCGCTCAACAGCAGACCAAGATGCCCATCAATTCCAGAGCTCAGTTGTTTACGGGTTTGGGGTTTATAGGCTTCAGAGTTGAGGATTTAGGGGTTTAGGCTTATGTCGTCTTGCGGATCCAGGCCGCTTTGGCCACCGAATTTCCGCACAACCAGAATTGTGGGGTCCCAGACTACCCCTGCCCCACCCTCTACCCAAAACGGCCCAAGTAACCCTTAAGTACGACTTACTTGGGTAGGGGCAGACAGGGTGGTGGGGCAAGAAAATGGGAGTAAGAATCCACATAGGTGAGGATCAGGAAACCATATCCTTCCTTAAATGTTGGTTACTTTACAATGGAACCCATAACCCAAAGAAAGGGGCAAAAGGCCACGACTGGGCGCAACCCACTATACTTTTTAGGTATAAGTAGCTAGACTAGGAATCCGTAACCAAAAAAAATGCTTTAAAGTATGGTACTCCAAAACCCAGGAACCGTTCCCTTTGGGCCTCCGCCGCTGCGGCTTCTTGAGCCATGGCCGAGAGGTGCTTCGACGCTGTGCTTGGGTTTAGGGTTTAGGGTTTAGGGTTTAGGGTTTAGGGTTTAGGGTTTAGGGTTTAGGGTTTAGGGTTTAGGGTTTAGGGTTTAGGGTTTAGGGCGTAGGGCTTAGGGTTTAGGGTTTAGGGCTTAGGGTTAGGGTTTAGGGTTTAGGGTTAGGGTTAGGGTTAGGGTTTGGGGTTTAGGGTTTAGGGGGGGTTTAGGGTTTAGGGTTTAGGGTTTAGGGTTTAGGGTTTAGGGTTTAGGGTTTAGGGTTTAGGGTTTAGGGTTTAGGGTTTAGGGTTTAGGGTTTAGGGTTTAGGGTTTAGGGTTTAGGGGGTTTAGGGTTTAGGGTTTAGGGTTTAGGGTTTAGGGTTTAGGGTTTAGGGTTTAGGGTTTAGGGTTTAGGGTTTAGGGTTTAGGGTTTAGGGTTTAGGGTTTAGGGTTTGAGGTGCTGGGGCTGTGGGGCTTTCCGGGAGTGACTCGGGTTGGGAATCCTAAGCTAATGTCGAGTGGAGGTTGTAGGCTTCCGAAGCCCAAGGAGTAGGGCGAGCTAGACTGAATTTCCGGTGGTTGTGCCCATGTCTAGTGAGACAGCTTGACACCCTGAACCCTAAACCCTAAACCCTAAACCCTAAACCCTAAACCCTAAACCCTGATTCGATGCTAACATACTCCGAAGAAGCCACACTCCGACGTCCTGCCTTTGAGAGCAGTGAAAGCTGCAAAGTGTGGCGCAGAGGAGTTCAAAATCAACAAATGGAAGGGACAAAATCTAGGGTTTAGGGTTTAGGGTTTAGGGTTTAGGGTTTAGGGTTTAGGGTTTAGGGTTCAGGGTTCAGGGTTCAGGGTTTAGGGTTTAGGGTTTAGGGTCTAGGGTTTAGGGTTTAGGGTTTAGGGTTAAGGGTTAAGGGTTTAGGGAACAAAGCCGAGAATAGAAACCAAAACGCCGAATCGAACACCGCAGAAGGCATAAAACAACACCTGAGCAGACAATGAGGAGAAGAAGAGGCAGACCCCTAAACCCATACACTGAAACGTCTAAAGCCCAGAGCCCGAACAGCCAAAACTGCATAAGCTGAGCCCAAAAAGTAGATTCTAGAGGATCACAATAAACTAGCAGAAATTCTTTCATGGGTTCCCTAGTACCCCCCTCCATACTACCCCCCCTAGGTTCCCCCCATAATTAAGGTTATCTAGAGATGATTAGCGTGGGGTCGTATAGAGGGGGGGGTGTTACTAGGGGAACCCATGATTATCGTATATAACTAGAGCATGTTAATGCGTATGGGCAATTCGCTAAGTTGCGGGTCCCTTTCTGTGCCCTGTCTACAGTATGGCACCTTTGTAATCAGCACCCCAAAAGAAACCCTAATTCAGGGAAGGAGGCTTAGACCCCAGCAGCGGTTTAGGGTTTAGGGTTTAGGGTTTGGGGTTTGGGGTTTGGGGTTTGGGGTTTGGGGCTTGGGGCTTGGGGCTTGGGGTTTGGGCTTTGGGGTTTGGGGTTTAGGGCTAGGTTGTAGGGTTTAGGGTTTACGGCTTGGGGTTTAGGGTCAGGGTTTAGGGTTTAGGGTTTAGGGTGTAAGATTTAGGGTTTAGGGTTTAGGGTTTAGGGTTTAGGGTTTAGGGTTTCGGGTTTAGAGTTTCGGGTTTAGGGTTTAGGCTCCGCTGCTGTCGGATTTGGTTTTGGCTGGGTTTCCGATTTCGTCCAGCAGTGGTTTCTGAACCTAGTGTTCTCTAATTGCTGAATTAGTGTTCTTTAATTGCTGAATTAATGTTCCTGCTGTTGTCCTTTTTGTTGTTGATGATTTTGGCCAATGTTTTCTGAAACCCTCTTCACTCACGACAAGGTGCTACGCCCACTGTTCTGACAGTCTCTCTGAATAAGGCGGCAACATGGTCTAAAGGGCTGTGGCTTTGGGGTGTCCAAACTGCCACGAGTAAGTTAAGGACTCATGTCCAACATCCCCCCCTTGCTCGACACCGCTTCAGCGCGTCGAAGTGAAACGTTCGCTGCTGTCAGCGCTGCTTCTTGCATCTGTTGAGTCCGACTACAAGGTCCACCGTGGCATCTCGTTTTCTGGAGCACTTCACCCAAGTGGGGCTCGGCAGGAACAACACCCCCGCGCGGAACTTCGGCCAAAGCTCTTCGAAAGACTCAGTTCTCACCGTCCGGCCTGATGGAAACGACTTGGTCAAGCATGCAACTGGCAGCCTGATCCCGTGCCAAAGCACCTACTGCCAGACCTCGAAGTTCATGCAGGGGCCCCTTACTTAGGACTGGTACCCTGCCCTAAATCCTCAACCCCTAGACCCTAAACCCTAAACCCCAAACCTACCTTGAGCAGTGTTGCAAGTTTGGAGGGGTTGAGGGGGGATCATGTGGGTTACTATATAGGCTCTTACATCAGACAGCTAGCCCTCAAATCTCTGGGTGCTCTTCATGGCTCTACCATGTGAAAGTAAGCTAGGGTTTAGGGTTTAGGGTTTAGGAATTAGGGCAGCTTATATCAGAATTTCACAGGGCCTATGGAAGTACAAGAAAGCCACCCGGATGTAGAAGGATTTCAGAAAGAGGATGCTGGCTCATGTGTCGTACAGGCTCTGGTAATCATGCCCCGCCGTTCAGGAATCAGCCCTAAACCCTAAACCCTAAACCCTAAACCCTAAGCCCTAAACCCTAAACCCTAAGCCCTAAACCCTAAACCCTAAACCCTAAACCTAAACCCTAAACCCTAGACGGGGCCACCTTCTTGCGGTTGGACTGCTTCAACTTCTTCTTGACCTTTTTGGACTTCCCAGGCCTGTGGCCAGGCTTGCCATTCGGAGGGGCTTCTTAGGATTTAGGGTTTAGGGTTTAGGGTTTAGGGTTTAGGGTTTAGGGTTTAGGGTTTAGGGTTTAGGGTTTAGGGTTTAGGGTTGCAGGCCCTGAGCTGCACGATGCTTCTGAGACCCCAAGAGTTTGTACTTGGAGGTTCATGGGTACCAAAAACCCCGATCACAGGGTTTCGGGTTTAGGGTTTAGGTTTTAGGTTTTAGGTTTTGGGGCTTAGGGTTTCGGGTTCAGGGGTTCATAAGTGGCTGTAATTCCAAGTAGAAGTGTACTTTCACCCACTTAGGGGACATTGGGGGCTTAAAGGTACAGTTATAATTGGGGTCATCAGTGCCCTGAAATTCCAAGTAGGTCTGCGGTAGAGCTGCAACATTTAAGGGGTATAAGGAGGGACCCCTAGAAGTGGCCCTTAATCTCATTCCCCTAAATAACCCCTATATATATATATATATATATATACCTTATATTACATAGTCCCTATCCCTATATACCTAAGTACCTAAGTAGCCCCTAAATAACCCCTAAGGTCCCTTATAAAGGTCCCGGATTTAGTCCCTTGAGACATATCCTTGCCGGGGCTTTAGGGCTCTGCTGGAGTTCTGGGGCTTGCGCCCGAAACCCGGAAGCCTAAACACAAGAGCACTTAAACCTTCGCCCTCTGTACCCTAAACCCTAAATCCTAAACCCGAAACCCTAAACCCCTAAACCCCTAAACCCCTAAACCCCTAAACCCCTAAACCCCTAAACCCCTAAACCCCTAAACCCCTAAACCCCTAAACCCCTAAACCCCGAACCCTAATCCCGAAATGAACCCCCTTTTCGTCATCTCACAGCCAAAAGTGACGAGGCTGTCCCTTCTAGAGCACGAGATCGGACAGATCCAGCAAGGACACAAGCTGGCACAACCACCCAGCTTGAAGGTTTAGGGTTTAGGGTTTAGGGTTGAGGGTTTAGGGTTTAGGGTTTAGGGTTTAGGGTTTAGGGTTTAGGGTTTAGGGTTTAGGGTTTAGGGTTTAGGGTTTAGGGTTTAGGGTTTGGGTTTAGGGTTTAGGGTTTAGGGTTTAGGGTTTAGGGTTAGGGTTTAGGGTTTAGGGTAGGGTTAGTTTAGGGTTTAGGGTTTAGGGTTTAGGGTTTAGGGTTTAGGGTTTAGGGTTTAGGGTTTAGGGTTTAGGGTTTAGGGTTTAGGGTTTAGGGTTTAGGGTTTAGGGTTTAGGGTTTAGGGTTTAGGGTTTAGGGTTTAGGGTTCGGGCAACCACCACAAATTCACTTCTTCTGACCAGGGATGACAAATTTATACAGGGGCAAATATTCAAGTCGATGCGCAGTTCTAGGGTCCTGGAGCTTCGTGGGGTTGAGGGTTTAGAACTTAGGGTTGAGACAACCCCTTAACCCTCAACCCTAAAGCCTCAACCTTAAACCCTCAACCCCAAACCCTAAACCCCAAACCCTAAACCCTTAACTTGGGTGTCCAGGCTTCTTTACCCGACAGATCTCGGAGCCGTCCTCAGCCCCGACGTCTTTGCGTTTGCCAGCCACTCCTTCTTCTTCTTCGCCTCGAACCATGGGTGATATCGCCAGTTCTCTAACTTCTGGTCCTTTTTCGGGGACCCTAAATCGGAGGGGCCCGTCTTGAAACAAGAAAGCCAAAAGGGACCCTAGGTTAGAGAAGTTGCCATAGAAGTAGAATGAGGCACCTTGCTTACCGTGATTAGGGTCTTAGAGGTTTGGGGGTTTGTTTAAGGGTTTAGAGGTTTAGAGGTTGAGGAAGCCTTGAGGTAGGGTTTTTGCGGCACTTTGGCCCTTTTGCATAGCGCCTGGTCAACGCCTCCGTACCCTGGACCTAAACCCACGAAAACGAAGTGCACAGCTCCAACAACAAGGGTTAGTTGGCTACACGGCGGGGCGACTCACCCCAAACCCTGAACCTTAAACCCTAATCCCTGAACCCGAACCTTGCGGGGTTCCAAAATGTTGGGTTTTGTGGTTCACGTGTCTAGGTTTTAGGGCTTTGGAGCTCTAGGGTTTTGGGGTGTGGGTTTCAGTTTTAGGGCTTTGGCATTAGGGTTTTGGGATTTGGGGTTTCGGTGTTTCGGGGCTTGGGCATTTGTGCGCTTAGGGGTCTGGGGCTTTAGGACTTTTAGAATGTTTCCAGAGTTCCACACGGCTGCTCAGGTTCTCGGCTCGCAAAACATGCCGCAGGACGCGGACCCCAAAGACGCCCCAAGTCCGGGAACGGCTAAAGAGTCCACGAAACCCAGTGAGACCCCTAGCCTAGAAACCGAAGACCCGATCCCAATCCCCCCCCCCCTTGCCCGGCAACCCTGAACCCAAACGCGTCTAGAATCTAGAAGCCCTCAACCCCAAGCCCGAAACCCTACACCCTAAACCCCAAACCCCAAAACCCTAAACCTAAACCCTAAAACCATCTTCTCAGGCCCTAAACTTTCCACCGCTCCTCACCATTAGAAGGGAATCCGTCGACACGAACCCCGAATCTCGAAGGGTTTGGGTCTTAGGTTTTTAGGATTTGGAGTTCAGGGTTTAGACCCTCAAGGTTTTGGAACCCCTCAATCCTCAACCCCTAATCCCCTAAACCCTAAACCCTCAATACCTAAACTCCAAACTGCCTTCTGCCGCTCTCGCCGCTGCTGCTTCCTTGGGACCACTTAGGGTTTAGGCGGGGTTAAGCGGGCTTTGGAGAGGTTTAGGGGGTTTAGAGGGTTTAGGGGATTTAGGGGGGGGGGGCAAGGGATTTAGGCGGATCAGCGAGTTTAGGGGATTTAGAGAATTGGGGGGGGGGGGGGGGTTAGGCGGTTGGGTTTATTTAGGGTTTAGCGGCCTTTCGGCCTATTGTGGACTCCTTAAACATAAGGTTTGTGGAGTGTCGAGGTGTGAGGTTCCCCGAATGGGCCCAGGTTGTAAGGAGAGCCTGGAGGTTTGGGGGGGCTTTGGGGTTTAAGAGTTTTGGGGTTTGGGGTTTGGGAGTTCGGGCAGTTAGCGCTTCGGAGCTTGAGGGTTTTGTAGGGCTTAGGGATTAAGATACCCTAAACCCCAAAGCGTGTTTCCGGGGATGGATACACCCGTGTAACCTGTCCAACTGCAGTCGAGCCGCAACACTATTCGCTTCGCTGCCGGGTGGTCCTCTGGCCGGGCCCTCAGCGTGGAAGCAGGAAAGGCAGCAAAGCTGCCAGCGAGCAAGAGTATCAGCCGGGGCCCGTCCCACCAAGCGCAGGCCGCCGGCGAGCATCGCCAGCGAGCATCAGAGCATCAGGGGCAAGTCCCACCAAGCGCAGGCCGCCAGCGAGCATCATAGCTCAGCCTCTCACCAAGCACAGGCCGGCAGCGAGCATCATGAGCATCAGCCGGGGCCCGTCTCACCAAGCGCAGGCCGCCAGCGAGCATCGCCCGTCTCACCAAGCGCAGGCCGCCAGCGAGCATCATGAGCATCAGCCGGGGCCTGCCCCATCAAGAGCAGGCCGCCAGCGAGCATCAGGAGCATCAGCCGGGACCCGCCCTTACCAGGCGCAGGCCGCCAGCGAGCATCATGAGCATCAGCCGGGGCCCGTCCCACCAATCACAGGCCGCCAGCGAGCATCATGAGCATCAGCCGGGGCCTGTCCCATCAAGCGCAGGCCGCCAGCGAGCATCATGAGCATCAGCCGGGGCCCGTCTCACCAAGCGCACGCCGGCAGCGAGCATCATGAGCAGCCGGGGCCCGTCTCACCCAGTCATGAGCATCAGCCGGGGCCCGTCTCACCAAGCGCAGGCCGCCAGCGAGCATCGCCCGTCTCACCAAGCGCAGGCCGGCAGCGAGCATCATGAGCATCAGCCGGGGCCTGTCTCACCAAGCGCAGGCCGGCAGCGAGCATCGTGAGCATCAGCCGCGGCCCGTCTCACCAAGCGCAGGCCGGCAGCGAGCATCATGAGCATCAGCCGGGGCCCGTCTCACCAAGCACAAGCCGGCAGCGAGCATCATGAGCAGCAGCCGGGGCCCGTCTCACCAAGCGCAGGCCGGCAGCGAGCATCATGAGCATCAGCCGCGGCCCGTCTCACCCAGTGCAGGGCCCGTCTCACCAAGCGCAGGCCGGCAGCGAGCATCATGAGCATCAGCCGGGGCCCGTCTCACCAAGCGCAGGCCGGCAGCGAGCATCATGAGCATCAGCCGGGGCCCGTCTCACCAAGCGCAGGCCGCCAGCGAGCATCATGAGCATCAGCCGGGGCCCGTCTCACCAAGCGCAGGCCGGCAGCGAGCATCATGAGCATCGGCCGGGGCCTGTCTCACCCAGTGCAGGCCGGCAGCGAGCATCATGAGCATCAGCCGGGGCCCGTCTCACCAAGCGCAGGCCAGCAGCGAGCATCATGAGTAGAAGCCGGTCCGTCTCACCAAGCGCAGGCCGGCAGCGAGCATCATGAGCATCAGCCGGGGCCCGTCTCACCAAGCGCAGGCCGCCAGCGAGCATCATGAGCATCAGCCGGGGCCCGTCTCACCAAGCGCAGGCCGCCAGCGAGCATCATGAGCATCAGCCGGGGCCCGTCTCACCAAGCGCAGGCCGGCAGCGAGCATCATGAGCATCAGCCGGGGCCCGTCTCACCAAGCGCAGGCCGCCAGCGAGCATCATGAGCATCAGCCGGGGCCCGTCTCACCAAGCGCAGGCCGGCAGCGAGCATCATGAGCATCAGCCGGGGCCTGTCTCACCAAGCGCAGGCCGCCAGCGAGCATCATGAGCATCAGCCGGGGGCCCGTCCCACCAAGCGCAGCGCCGCCAGCGAGCATCATCAGCATCAGCTGGGGCCCTTCCCAGGGATCATCATGAGCTCATTCTCATTCTCTTTTAAGCATCAGCCGCCATAGCCACCGAACATGAGCACACTTCCGATAGAAAAAGTTGTGATTTGGCTGCACGCAACTTTCTTGCAAAAACAACGCTATTATTACTATTAGCATTGCTACTACTATTATTATTATTATTGTTATTGTTATTGTTATTATTGTTATTATTACGATTATGAGTATTATTATTATTATTTTTATTATTCTTGCTGTTGTTTTTACTATTCTTGCTATGATTATGATTACTATAATTATTGCTACTATTATAATTACTACCGTTATTATCATTATTATTACTATCACCATTATCCGTATTATTATTACTAATATCTATTATTATCATTATTACTATTATTATTACTATTACTGTTACGATTACTCGTGTTTTTATTATTCTTGCTATTATTGTTTATGATTACTACTACTCTTATTATTACTATTACTATTACCATGATTATTATTATTACTATTGTTATTATTAGTATTCTTATTATTACTATTATTTTTATTACTATTCTTATTATTACTATTCTTATTACTATTACTATTACCATGATTATTATTATTACTATTATTATTACTAAAAGAATGTAGGGCCCGGTCTGGTCTTTGCCGGGCTTGTCTTCCGCACTGGAATCCTCGACCTGGGCCCAGCGCAGGGGTCAAAAGCGTAGCAAATAGGGGTTCAAGGGCTTTAGGGTTTAGGGTTTAGGGTTTAGGGTTTAGGGTTTAGGGTTAAGGGTTTAGGGTTTAGGGTTTAGGGTTTAGGGTTTAGGGTTTAGGGTTTAGGGTTTAGGGTTTAGGGTTTAGGGTTTAGGGTTTAGGGTTGCCTTGGAGGACTAGATGGCACAAGGGTACTGCAGGGCTAATATAGGGGCCTTCATAATTCGAATAGGATTTTGGGGGGCTATTTTTGGTATATTCATAAAGGAACCATAAGAGAATACCATTGTTAATTATTCCGACCCCTATATTAGAAGAAAGGCGCTTCCGAGGCAGAGCGGCCTTTGTGATTCGGATCTCCTTGCCGTGGATCTTGGGCCACAGCTTCAGGGCTTCCTGTCGGCAGGATCTGTAATGGCATGCCTAAACCCTAGACCCTCAACCCTAAACCTAAAGCCCTAAAGCTCTGAACCATAAACCCTAAACCCTAAACCCTAAACCGAGTTCAGTATGGAGGCGGAGTGCGTAAGTGGAGGGGGCAGTTTAGGGGCTTGCCCCCCTCCCGCCCCCTCCCTGTAAACTCGAAACAAAGCCCCCTAAACCCTAAACCCTAAACCCTAAACCCTAAACCCTAAGCCCTAAGCCCTAAGCCCTAAGCCCTAAGCCCTAAACCCTAGACCCACACCATGGACAGCTGAGTTCCGGCGTCATGCGGTCTCTTCGATCTCTACCTTTCGAGCTACCAATCCAGTATCGAACCCCACTGCTGTAGCACTCACATGGGCGGTTGTCAAACATTATGGTCCCTTTTTGGATCCCTAGTATAATACGGCACCTAATATGTAGGGTGCCCCAAAAAGGGACCATAATTTTGACAGCCACCCACATGTCTTTTCCATTTCATGCTGGACACATCAAACATTGTGAAATCGCAGCTGCAGATGCATAGCCTCCTGCAGAACGGAACTGGTCATGGGTTTTCCTACCCCTTAAATAACCTTAATGAGGCTTACTTATCCCTAAATCGCCTTAATCATGGGGGGGAACCTAGAGGGGGTAGTTTTGTGGGGGCTCGTAGGGAAACCCATGATTTTTGCTTGAGCCTAAGCGAGGCTCGAACTGATATCCTAAAACCTCGATAAAGCAAAATCTTGGGCCCGAGCTACGCCCCGAATGCCTTAGCCCCCCGAAAGCCCTAAAGCCCTAAAGGAGCCCTAAAGCCCTAAAGCCCTAAAGCCCTAAAGCCCTAAAGCCCTAAAGCCCTAAAGCCCTAAAGCCCTAAAGCCCTAAAGCCCTAAAGCCCTAAAGCCCTAAAGCCCTACTGTAAAGCCCTAAAGCCCTAAAGCCCTAAAGCCCTAAAGCCCTAAAGCCCTAAAGCCCTAAAGCCCTAAAGCCCTAAAGCCCTAAAGCCCTAAAGCCCTAAAGCCCTAAAGCCCTAGAGCCCTAAAGCCCTAAACCCTAAACCCTAAACCCTAAAAACAGGGGGCCTTCACGCTCCAGCGCTCCTGGAAGCGCGCGAAGGCAAAGCCCTGACACTCCTTGCGGAGTCGCTTCGTGAGGCAAACCATGGGTTCCCCCTACCTACCCCCCCCCCCCCCCCCGTCGGGTTGAGGGTTTGGGGTTTAGGGTTTGGGGTTTGGGGTTTGGGGTTTGGGGTTTGGGGTTTGGGGTTTGGGGTTTGGGGTTTCAGGTTCCCCTGCAACCCCCAGCTATACTGCCCCCTAGGTTCTCCCCATAATCAAGGCTATTTGGATTAGTATGCTTATTTAAGGTTATTTAAGGGGGGAACCTAAGGGGGTAGGGGTTAGGGGTTCAGGGCTTTGACGGTTTTAAGGGGGGTTAGGGGGGTTTAGGGGATTATAGGGGGGTTGACTCAGGTGCAAAGCGAAGTATCGACGATTTTCGGAGACTTAGAACCCTAAACCCTAAACCCCCTAAATCCTAAACCCTAAACCCTAAACCCCCTAGACCCCAAACCCTAAGCCCCTAAGCCCCTAAACCCTAAGCCTTAAAGAATCACCTCGAGCCCAGGCGCTTCGGCGTTGTGCTCCGCAGCCATGTCATCAAGGCTCTTCTGGTTCTGCTCCTCTTTCTGGGCCAGCTGCTGCTGCAGCATGACCTGGCCAGCCGCGCCCCATCCTGTGGCCGCTGAGGCTATCTCCAGTTTGGTGGTATGATCCGCCGCGACTTGATGGACACACATGGGTATTTCCCAAAGTAGGGGTACGTTTAGGGTTTAGGGTTTAGGGTTTAGGGTTTAGGGTTTAGGGTTTAGGGTTTAGGGTTTAGGGTTTAGGGTTTAGGGTTTAGGGTTTAGGGTTTAGGGTTTAGGGTTTAGGGTTTAGGGTTTAGGGTTTTAGTGTTTAGGGTTTAGGGTTTAGGGTTTAGGGTTTAGGGTTTAGGGTTTAGGGTTTAGGGTTTAGGGTTTAGGGTTTAGGGCTTAGGGTTAGGGTTTAGGGGTGCCCCTTCTATACCCCCAATAGAATAGAATCCCCTTAAAGGGACCCCAAACAAGGGTACCCCCTATTTTCGGAAAACCCCCATACAGTTCTTAGGGTAGTTGCATGGTCCCTGAATATGGGCCCCTACTAGGGAAACCCTTACATACCCCGCCTTTGCCCCTATAACACCCAAGGGTTCAGGATTTCCTTGAGAGAATATAGGGGAAAATAAGGTACCTAATTCCCTCATGCCCTACTGTGGACCAATCGGAAAACTAGACTTGGTGCTCTTCAGCCCCCAAACCCTAAACCCTAAACCCCTAGCAATCCCCCAATACCAACCATCCCCTGCCTGCGTGATCTTGTTCCTCACTATTCGGACCTGGGAGGGTAGTTGGGTTTCGGAAATTTCGTGTTTGGGGTTTAGGGTTTCGGGTTTAGAGTTTACGGGAGGGTTTCCCCGAGGCCCTATTTGACCTCCAAGCGTCACCCCTACAGGAAATCCCTAAACCCTATGCTCCTTTCCAAACCCAAATGCTTCTCCGCCTTCGCAAACCCTATGCCTCAAACCCCAAACCCAAAACCCAAAACCCAAAACCCAAAACCCAAAACCCCAAACCCCAAACCCCAAACCCCAAACCCCAAACCCCAAACCCAAACCCTAAACCTTACCCACAAACCCCCACACCCACACCCTAAACCAAACCCCAAACCCTAAACCCTAAACTCCAAACACAGCCCTAAACCCTAAACCCCCAAACCCTAAATCCCAAAAAGGCTCGCGTCTCCCAGGGCAATGGCTGCGTCCACCTGCCCCGCAGGCCACAGAACCCAGCGGATGTCATCTTCGGTGACGCCTCTGAGGCAAATTTGGGCTTGAGGGCATTTAGACCCTGCCTAGGGTTTAGGGTTTAGGGTTTGGGGTTTAGGGTTTAGGGTCTAGGGTCTAGGGTTTAGGGTTTAGGGTTTAGGGTTTAGGGTTTAGGGTTTAGGTTTTAGGGTTTAGGGTTTAGGGCTTGGGGAAACCCTAAACCCGATGTTGTCTAAGGTTCGGGGTGAGGATAGCGTTTGGCCTCTTGTCGAAGTTGGATCGTTACTTCGGCTAAGGGCACACCCAATAACTACAGTAGGTTCCAGAAAACCCTAAACCCTAAATTCTAAACCCTGAACCCTAAACCGTGGTGTTTGGCACTCCTTGGGTGCGAAACACCAAGGCCTAAATCAGCTTGAGGCCAGCGCGTCGTGGTAGGCTGCCAAGGAACACGCTCCGCTTCCTTGCAAAGTCGCCCTAAACCCTGAGCCCGGGCCCTGAACCCTAAACCCTAAGGCCTAAACCCTAAGGCCTAAACCCTAAACCCTAAACCCTAAACCCTAAACCCGCGGTTCCATCAGGCTGTGAGCATCTCGTGCCGAGCCCGCGTCCTGTCGAACTTCTTGAGCACAGCCGACTCCCCCACCTGGCGCACAATCTTGTGCGGGTTTAGGGTTTAGGGGTGAGGGTTTAGGGTTGAGGGTTGAGGGTTGAGGGTTTAGGGTTTAGGGTTGAGGGTTTAGGGTTCAGGGTTTAGGGTTCAGGGTTTGGGTAAGCTTGCCATATATACTCCAATAGGTATTTAATTTTAGGGGGCAGGCGGGGGGGTGGGTCAATATTAGGGAGAGGGGATTACTCTGGTCGAGGTTGTGCTGTAACCTATTGAATAAACGGGCCCAAAGCAGTACTCCCTAGGCCCTCAGCCCTAAACCAAGCCCCCCCAAAAATCATTGCTGCTGTCAAACTCATATGGCAGTGGGTTAAAATTCGGGTTGTCGCGGGGGGTCCCCCCCGCCCTCTGCTACAAGCCTTGTCGCGGGCAGGTTGTTTCATACCTTTGTCGCGCCGCTACTTTGAACCCAATTTTCTTAGTTGGGTTTTGTAAGGGTTTAGGGTAAAGGGTTTAGGTTTAGGGTTGGGGTTTCGGATGAAGGGTTTAGGGATTTTACTGGAGAGCCTTAAACCCTGAACCCTGTAAATATAAACCCTGGGCTTCTCGTTCAAGGTTGTCCTACGGATGGGCACCTGCTGGCTCGAGCAGTCGCGCGGGTTGTCGCGGGTATGTCGCGCCCTGTCGCAGGCCTTGTCGCGGACTGAGAGTGAAAGTTGCTGCAGACACGCATCAAGGTCGCATCGAGATTGGCAATGAGAAAACTCAATGGTATTGCTGTCTTGTCGGGGAGGGGGGGGTTGTAGCCTTGTCGCGGGGGGGGGGGGTTGTCGCGGACACGGCACGTCTGTTACAAACCTTTGTCGCGGAGGGACCCCCCGGTGCCTGTTACAAGCCCGGAAAAAAAACTCACTGCCATATTCCAATCCTGATGACTTGATCTTACCAGGATTATTCGGATTATGCCGACTAGTATGATGATTATGACAATGACTTATTCTTTAGGAGGTAGGGTACTGACGGGGCGTCCTGGTGGTAAGAATCCGAGTGCCCAGCCCCATCTGCCCTGAGGATGTGGCCCGTGTCGGCCTGAAGGGGATTTTTTGGGGTTTGAGGGTTGGGGGGTTTTAGGGAGTTGGGGTTTTAGAGTTTGGGGTCTAGGGGCCAAGGTTTAGGGTTTAGGATTTAGATTTTAGGGGTTTGGGTTTTTTTTTTTTTTTTGGGGGGGGGGGGGGGGGGGGGGGCGGGGCTTAGGGTTTAGGGTTTAGGGATTTCGGGGCTTAGGGATGTTCGGGTTCAGGGTTTGGGCTTTGGGGTTTGGGCTTTAAGGCCTTTTAGGGCGTTTGGGCGTTGGGCTTTCAGGTTTTTAGGGCCTAGGCTCTGGAGGGTTGAGTGATTGGGCTTGAGGTTCAGGGTTTCCAGGGACCGAAGGAGGGACCCGTAGAAGGCTAAACCCTAAACCCTGAACCCTGAACCCTAAACCCTAAACCCTAAACCCTAAACCCTAAACCCTAAACCCTAAACCCTAAACCCTAAACCCTGTCATCTCTTTGTCAAAAACATGCGCAGGGCATCTGATGCTGGCGGCCTGCAGGTTGTTCACCAGCTTGACGACCGTAGGAACCTGCGTGGGTTTACAGATTATAAAAGGGGGGGAAGGGTTTGAGGGGTTTAGGGTTTAGGGTTTAGGGTTTAGGGCTTAGGGCTTAGGGTTTAGGTTTAGGGTTTAGGGTTTGAGGTTTAGGGTTTTGGGTTTGGGTTTGGGGTTCAGGGGTGTAGGGCTTAGGGCTCAGAGTCCCCGACCCCTACTGGGCCCTTTGCCATGAAGCATCAGGCTCATGTTCCTAGCTGAGGGTTGTTAGGGCTCAGGCCCCCGATTCCTCGTAGGGAATGAGGGAATGCAGGCCCCCATACATACCCTTTAAGGGAGTAAATAGGTACCTCATTCCCTCATTCCCTACAGCTGGATGTGATTGCTTTAGGGTTGAGGGTTGAGGGTTGAGGGTTTAGGGTTTAGGGTTTAGGGTTTAGGGTTGAGGGTTTGGGGTTTGGGGTTTGGGGTTTGGGGTTTGGGGTTTGGGGTTTAGGGTTTAGGGGGACCCTTAAGTGCGACCCAGTCACGTCCTCAGGGCCTGGCAGCAGCGGGGTGCTCACGTTACTCCCACATGGCGGGCGATCCAACCCCGATGCCTTTACATGTGCATAGGAAGAGGGGGTTTACGAAGTAGGGGATTCCCTTATAATGAAGATCCGGATAAGGTACCCCCCCCCCCCCCCCCATGTTTCGGAAAGCACCATACAATAACAGCCGCGCTAAAGCAGAGCGGTGGCTCCCCAAGCACCGTCTCAAGTCTGCCGGGCGGTGACTGGATTCCTGGACAGAGGCCTTAAGACTCGAAACCCTAAACCCTAAACCCGAAACCCTAAACCCTTTTTTGGGAGCCCCTTGCAGGACGCCTCTGAAACTTTGACGCTCCGAAAGCCCCGAAACCCACTTTAAGTCGAGGTGCCCTGGCCTTTGCCCCAACCTCTCAACGCAATTTGAAGCCCAAGAAAGCCCCCCTTGCTAGGAATTACCCTAAACCCTAAACCTTAAACCCTAAACCCTAAACCCTAAACCCCAAAGCCTAAACCCTAAAGCCTAAACCCTAAACCCTAAACCCTAACAGTTCGGGTGGGGGCTGGGGCCACTGAGCTACGCGAGCGTGCGATAGGGAGTGCGACTCTAAGTCTAATGAAAGGGAGCACTCCCCGCGCGCGTACACTCATGCAGACCCTGAACCCTAAACCCTAAACCCTAAACCCTAAAACCCTAAAACCCTAAACCCTAATTAAACCCTAAACCCTAAACCCTAAACCCTAAACCCTAAACCCTAAACCCTAAACCAACCCTGCGCCTCGCAGCACCACGTAGGCATTCTTGGCCGCCTCCGCGCCCTCCATGTACGCCTGCTTGATGCGTCCAGCCTGGGGCGTTTAGGGTTTAGGGTTTAGGGTTTGGGGTTTAGGGTTTGGGGTTTAGGGCTATAGGGTTGCAGGGTTTGGGGTTTAGGAATTAGGGTTTCGGGTTTAGGGTCCAGGGTTTAGGGTTTTAGGGGCCTACTTGGTGGCTACAGGAGAGTATATAGAAGGGTGCAGAGTTGAGGCGTCTGGGGTTCAGGGTTCATCCGGACTTGCCTGGTAAGGCTCAGGGCTTACGCTGGGGAGAGAGATGTTGGAGTCTTGAGGACTCTTATGCAACCCTCAGCCCTACGCCATCAACCCTAAACCCCTAGACCCCCTGGACCCCTAAACCCCTAAACCCCCAAACCCCCAAACCCCTAAACCCCTAAACCCCTAAACCCTAAACCCTAAACCCTAAACCCTAAACCCTAAACCCGAATTCTCGTGCTTTGCTCCCCCCCAGTCCGCCCAGTCCCTGGCACCTTGCGCAGCTCCTTGGAGGTGTTCCATCGGCTCTCCAGGGGCAGCGACCGGAACCAGATGGGCCTTTAGGGTTTAGGGTTTAGGGTTTAGGGTTTAGGGTTTAGGGTTTAGGGTTTCGGGTTTAGGGTTTAGGGTTTCGGGTTTAGGGTTTAGGGTTTAGGGCCTAGGGTTTAGGGTTTGGGGTTTAACCTCCATGGGGCTTCTGTGGCTTATGGGCTGTCTGGAGGGTTGTGGGCTTAGAGTTTCGGGGGTATAGGGTTTAGGGTTGAGGGTTTAGGGTTTACAGGTTTTAGGACCGAGTCCAGGGCTTGTAAGATTGAGGGTTTTTGGGTGTCAGAAGGTTTGGAGGGGCTGTTGGAGGAAGGGAGACGGGGCCCGAACTCAAACAACCCCCGAAACCCTAAACCCAACCCTAAACCCTAAACCCTAAACCCTAAACCTCCTCTTCTGAATGCGTAAGCCCCTGGCTTGAGTTGGCCTTCGTAGGTTGTGCCTTGGAGTGGGTTTTGGGTTTAGGGATCAAGATGCTCCCAGGCTTCGCGTGGGGCCAGCTATCAGGCTAGCAGCTATAACGCGCACGACACAACCCTAAACCCTAAACCCTAAACCCTAAACCCTAAACCCTAAACCCTAAACCCTAAACCCTAAACCCTGAACCCTGAACCCTAAACCCTAAACCCCAAACCCCTCAGCTCCCGGCCACAGGCCACACGAAGGAATCCACGAAGACGTTTCCTTGCCCATTCGGCACCAAAACAGCTCAGTCGCGGTGTCACTATAAACCCTACAAAATGTACATCCTACAGTCTAGACCGCTCCTAAACCCTCCCCAAACACCCTGCAAAACCCGAGGAAAGAGAAAGCTGAGGCCACATCTCCGTCCACGCCACGGGGACGTTGCCGACAAACATGGTCCGCTTCTGCGCATGGAGCAAGGTTTAGGGTCTAGGGTTTAGGGTCTAGGGTTGAGGGTCTAGGGTTTAGGGTTTCGAAGTTTAGGGCTTAAGGTATGACAAGGCCACGCAGCCTCAAAACAGGCTCTGCCCCTCGAATGGATCTTTTCCGAAGCCAACGCGAAGCCCCTAACCCGAACCTATCATATGGGCCCTTAATTGGGGACCCCGTATCCACCCCTTGTATACCCTTAAACGCAAGGGCCCAAACTTCAGAAGGGGACCATATCAAGGGACCATGTAACTACCCCGAAACCCTAAACCCTAAACCCTAAAACCGAAACACATAACCCTAAACCCTAAACCCTAAACCTTTAAACCCTAAACCGTAAACCCTAAACCCCCTCAACCCCCCCTATACCGCCTCTCTCTCCTTGAGCTCGGAGTCGTCGAGCTTCCTCTTCTTTCCGCCCCTCGGATGTCGGGCTTGGTTTAGGGTTTAGGGTTTCGGGTTTAGGGTTTAATTAGGGTTTAGGGTGTATAGAAGGGAAGCTCGCTGGTGCTAAAAGCACCCGGGCCGCTCGCTTGCATTAGCATGTAGTCCCACCCCAACCACCCAAACTATTCTCATTTAGGGTTTAGCGTTCACCCCCAAACCCCCCTCAAGGGGGGCTTTTTCTTGCTTTTTAAGAGAAGAGCAGGGTGGGGCCTCCCGAGCTTTGTGGAGCCTGTCAGTGGCTCGTAGGCTTCTGGGAGCTTTCACGGAGTAAAATGGAGGGGTGCCCAAATCGTCAATTGCAAAACAAAAAACTACATCCGGGCACATGCTGGAACTCGGTTAAGGGCAGCAAAACGGGAGGGGGTAGCAGGGGCCTCGGCAGGCCCCTGCTTCCAACCATGGGATAAAAATGAAGCAGCAAAACGGCTGGGCCTCGGCCGGCCCCTGCTTCCAACTGGTCGTAGCAAGACAGAAAAACCCATGGTCAGGGCAGAAAAACCCGTGTCAGGTTTCAGAATCCCAGCCAGGAAATTCCCAAAGCCAGGCCAGAAGGGGGGGGGGGCTGCCAGCCCGGGGCCCAGACCCCGGCCGGGGCATCCCCTCCGACCCCCTAAAAAAAACCAAAAACACGACAGTGTCGGGTCCTAATTATATCGTAAGCCCTACGTCGAAGGTGTAGCTAGGCACTGCAGGCCCCGTCTACCGGGAGGCTTTACCCTCCCTCACCGTTCTGTGGAGACGCTCGGTCGCGGACCTCGGTCGAAGCGGCCATGTCAATGGACAGCGGCGCTCTCGGCAGTTTAGGGTTTAGGGTTTAGGGTTTAGGGTTTAGGGTTTAGGGTTTGGGGTTTGCGGTTTGGGGTTTAGGGTTTAGGGTTTAGGGTTTAGGCGTTCAGGCGTTCAGGCGTTCAGGTGTTCAGAGGGCTCCGGGGTTTAGAATCTAGGTGCGACTCCTGCCTAAGTTCTTGGTAGCCCAGTCGGGGGAGGTTGCCCACAGTGTTGGGTTTCTTCCCGCTACTCGGAGGGCACACTGATTTGAGACCAGCTTTGAAGGGGATGGCAGAATATTGCCATTGGTGGTGGGGGCCCTGGTGTGCTGGAAATGGTGGAGGTGGATGAGGCCGTGATGTGAGTAGCTCCGGGTGCGCACAGGTCGGGTGGGCACTTCGTATCTGCAGAGGGATCTGTGGAGAAGCGTGTGTGCCGTATTAGGCACTCGACTGGCGCTGCCCTGAGCGGAGGTGATGGTGTTTGCTTGGCTGAGTACCCTGAAGGGTGACTTTTGGGGGAAGAGCCGCGCTGAGCGAAGTTATCGCGAGGATGGCAAGCTGTCTTGCCCTTATGCCGGCCCGCCGGGCAGTACTCTGCTCGATGGGTGCAGGTGGCGGGCCTGCCTAGTGGTCGCTTTGTTCGGAGCAAGCACGCCCTCGCGCGGTTAGCTGGGTCTTTTCGTTCGTCGTCGCGTCGTGGTTGCGTGTTGTTGGCTGTTGCTGTTTGTCGTTGCGTGTTGTTGTGGCTGACACTTTAAGCCTTCGCGCTGGAGGTGTCGCCAATTTGTTAGGCCAGGTATGCGTCTTCGGCCAGACACATGCCTCGATCGATGCTCACTCACTCACTCACTCACTCACTCACTCTTGGTAGCCCAGTAACCATATTGTGATAAGGGCACCCTTTTTTTGCTTTAGGGTTTAGGGTTTAGGGCTTAGGGTTTAGGGTATTCTATAAGGGAAACCATAAACAAACAAAAAGGGGTAAAGGGTACCAGTGGGCTACCAAGAGTTTGGGGGTTTGTCATAAGTGCACTCAAGTATAGGCAGTAGAGGGTAACTGGGGTTCCCAGTGCAACTTCAGTTACGGCACATGTCTAACCCCCAGCCCTAAACCCTACCAAACCCTAAACCCCAAACCCCAAACCCCAAACCCCAAACCCCAAACCCCAAACCCCAAACCCCAAACCCTAAACCCTAAACCCTAAACCCTACCTCCAAGTCGACTTCCCGAGCAGCTGAGCAGGCGGCGCGGATGGCGAGGCTTCCTCGGCACCTTCGGCGGCTCCTGCGACTTACTCGCGAGTAGCGAAAGTGGTGAATTGAGTGCCTTGTGTCACTGCTAGTATTTTCCCTAAACCCTAAACCCTAAACCCTAAACCCTAAACCCTAAACCCTAAACCCTAAACCCTAAACCCCAATCCCCACTCCCCAATTAAAACCCCAAACCCTACACCCTAAACCGTAAACCCTAAACCCCAAGCCCTGAATCTGTAACTCTTCAGGGCTTAAGTAGGTATTTCCTTCAGGCATTTCCCCCCCCCCCCATGGCAATCCCTATGCCCCCCCCCCCCCCCCCCAAACGGTGAGCCCAAAATGCTTCGAATCACTTCAAAAATCCCTACACCGGCCTACACCCTAAAGCCTTAGAAGGCCCTCTGCCAATACATGCCCCAAAACCATCCAAATGCCCAAGCCCTATCTTCCACATGGTGCCAACAGATCGTTGAAGTTGAACACCTCAAGATTCCTCAATGCCTAAAACTCTTGGTAGCCCCAGTAACCATATTACAATAAGGGTACCCTTCTTGGGTACGGGGTACTTAATAAGGGAACCGTGAACCAATCAAAAAGGGCAAAGGTGTACCACTGGGCTGGTGTCTTGGAATCCAAAACAGAACAAACGGCCAGGCGAGCAACCAGGAGAACAAGGGTTCAGGGTTTAGGGTTTAGGGTTTCGGGTTTCGGGTTTAGGGTTTAGGGTTTAGGGTTTTAGGTTTTAGGGTTTAGGGTTTAGGGTTTAGGGTTTAGAGTTTAGGGGCTTGTGGGGCACCCTAACGAGAAGCTGATGCCGCGCCTGCATCTTCTTGCTTCACCACCTTTGCCTTTGCCTTCTTCCCGAGGCCTTCATTCCCGACCTGCTCTTTCTCAACTGGTTAGGGACTAGGGTTTAGGGTTCAGGGTTTAGGGTTTAGGGTTTAGGGTTTAGGGTTTAGGGTTTAGGGTTAAGGGTTTAGGGTTTAGGGTTTAGAGTTTGGGGTTTAGGGTTTAGGGCATATTTTTGTTGATCTTCCTGTCAATGCATCCATATCTTCCTGTAAACCAACATACTGCTGGACGCGGAGGTTCATGGGGTAGATACGAGAAGGAGATGTACCTTAATTAATCCAGGCCATAACAGGTGACAACTAGAGTGGCCCTACTTACAACCTAAACTCTAAACCCTGAACCCTAAGCCCTACCTAAGCCCTAAACCCCTAAACCCTAAACCACAGAAAACTAACCACCAACCTTCAAGTACCTCTGACGACGTAGGTTGCAATGAGGTTTCCTACAGGGAAGCCCCTTACTAAAGAGAATGTTTGTGGTACAACCCCTACACACTAAACCTTCTGCCCCAAACCATAAGCCAGTAAAGCCTAAAACTCTGAATCCCTCAAACCTCAACCCTTAACCCCGAACCCTAAACCCTAAACCCTAAACCCTAAACCCTAAACCCTAAACCCTAAACCCTAAACCCTAAACCCTAAACCCTAAACCCTAAACCCTAAACCCTAAACCCTAAACCCTAAACCCTAACCCTAAATCCTAAGCTCGCGCCGGGGGTGCTGATTTTGCCAGCTCTTTCGAGGCTTTGGCACCTCCCAGATTGCACTTTCTACAGAAGTTCTGGGGAATCACAGGGGGTTTGTAGGGGTTACTTCTGGGTTACTGCCTGGTTTACTGCTGGGTTTACTGCTGGGTTCAGGGTCAGGGTTTAGGTGGTTTGGGTTAAGGGTTAAGGGTTAAGGGTTAAGGGTTAAGGGTTTAAGGATTAAGGATTAAGGGTTAAGGGTTTAGGGTTTAGGGTTTAGGGTTTAGGCTTTAGGCTTTAGGCTTTCGGCTTTCGGCTTAGGCTTTAGGCTTTAGGCTTTAGGCTTTAGGCTTTAGGCTTTAGGCTTTAGGCTTTAGGCTTTAGGCTTTAGGCTTTAGGCTTTAGGCTTTAGGCTTTAGGCTTTAGGCTTTAGGCTTTAGGCTTTAGGCTTTAGGCTTTAGGCTTTAGGGCTTTAGAGGGGGTTACGGGAGTTCATGGCAGGTTGCAGGGCTTCCCTGGCGCTTATGCGGCTTCATGGGTTGGCCTCCTACTGCTTGAGCCGGCGCAGCTTGGAGAGAGCTTGGGATGTTCCCCCCTACTTGGAGGTTCATGGTACTTACTAACCAATTATAACTGTACTTATAACCCTACTTATAAGTGGGATAACCCCTATAAGGCCCTTTAGGGGTACTGTAAGTAGGGTTATAAGTACAGTTATAATTGGTTAGTAAGTACCATGAACCTCCAAGTATACTGACCGTCCTTACCCAGGCCCCTGGGAGGATCCGAAAAGTAGATCCCCCAAATAGTACCCTATACTACTTGTACTACTATTGGGTCATTTCTAGTCCCCCAAATAGTACCCTATACTTCTTATACTACTATTGGGTCATTTCTAGCAACCCTCAAGGGGATCTATTCTTTTGGATCCTCCCAGGGGTCTGGGAAATAGGGATGATAGCACCCCCGCGATGAGAATCCCTATTAAGGACTGTTAGTATAAGGGGGAGCATCCCAAGCCACGGTGCTACTCTGGGGCCCTCTCGTCGTAAGATCAAACGGACACTCAACCTCCGCTGAACCCTACATAACCCAAACCCTCAAAAAAATCCAAAAAAAGTAGAACATCCCCCCCCCCCCCCCCCCCCCAAAAAAATAAACATATCACCCCTATACTAAACATATCACCCCTATACTACTCTTGGTTCATGCTTAGGAACCCTTAAGGGGATCTACTTTTCAGGCCCTCCCCTAAACCCTGAACCCTAAACCCTGAACCCTAAACCCTAAACCCTAAACGGCCCAACCTCCCCACAACAAACAAAAAAAACCCACAAGGCGCGTTGCCTCTCCGCTTGCCCACCCTCGCAGAGCCAGCAGAAGCTCGCAGCATGGTCGGAGAGGTGGCGCTTCCCCAGGGTGGCGCTTCCCCAGGGTGGCTCGGGTGTAGGAGGTTCGGGCTGAGGGTCGAGGGCTTTGGCTTTGGAGTTGAGGGCTTGGAGTTTAGGGTTTAGGGTTTAGGGTTTAGGGTTTAGGGTTTTAAGGGTTTTAAGGGTTTTAAGGGTTTGGGGGTTTGGGGGTTTAGCGCACAGAATGTTAGGGTGTAAGTACTTGGAGGTTCAAGACACTTCCACCCCCAAAACTGTATCTGTACTTATAAGCCCCCCAAAGTTCCCGAAGTAGGTACTCAGTAGACGTATAGTTGGGGTTCTAAGTGCCCATGAACCTCCATGTAAGGCCCTAAACCCTAAACCCTAAACCCTAAACCCTAAACCCTAAACCCTAAACCCTAAACCCTAAACCCTAAACCCTAAACCCTAAACTCTAAACCCTAAACCCTAAACCCTAAACCCTAGCTGCTTGGGGGGTCTCGGATGGCTGAGGATGGGGCACATTGGGGCCCATGCATCTCAAAGTGTTGAGCCAACAGGCTGCTGGCATGCCAGGGCTTTGTTGTAGGGTCTTTAGGGCAGGGGTTTAAGGTTTAGGGTTTAGGGTTTACGAGTTTTGGGGTTTAGGGGGTTTAGGGGTTTAGGGGTTTAGGGTTTAGGGTTTAGGGTTTAGGGTTTAGGGTTTAGGGTTTAGGGTTTAGGGTTTAGGGTTTAGGGGTTAGGGGCAGGGCCCGAGGGCGAAGCTGCTGAAACCTGAGCCCTGCCTTGCGTCAGGCCTTGGCAAGCTCTTCCTTTTTGCCGCGCAGCGGCGCGCACTCTCCACTCTTAAGCTTTGGCCCGGCCCCGGGAGGCACAGGAGGGCTCCTAAGGGCCTCAGCGGGGCCTCAGCTCAGATCCTTGCTCCCGCAAGCGCGCGGAGCGCGCGGCGCGCGAGGAGCGTTGGGCCGGAGCCCTGCTTGACGATCCCGGATGGAGCCGGGAGTCGGAGAGAGAAGGGCGACGCATCGGGCTTCTCAAGGCCCAACTTGTCGTGTTGCCAGGAACTGGGTAGATGGCACCTTAAAGGTGGGCAGCAAAAAGCAAGCTCTTGTGGTCCCACGCTACAACCCCAGGCCTTTGGGGGGATCTCAAAAAAGCAGATCCCCTTCTAAGGGCTCCTAAGTATGACCCAATGGTAGTGCCGGGTTTAGGGTTTAGGGTTTAGGGCTTAGGGCTTAGGGTTTAGGGTTTTGGTTTCGGGTTTGGGGCTTAGGGTTTAGGGTTTAGGGCTACGGGTTTAGGGTGCTATTGGGGGGTTCTACCTTTTTGGGATCCTCCCAAAAGGCCCGGGAAGGCAAAGCAGACGCTCTCCCGGTAAGCGCCCAGCACCCCCCGGTGCCCGAAGGCAGCCGCTCCGCTTCGCAAGATGACCTTAGGATGCCCCCAAAGTCTGATTCGCTGTGAGTATTAGTATGCTGCCATTTCTTCCTATTATTATTCTTCTTCTTATTATGATTATTATTCTTATTCTTCTTCTCCTTCTTAGTATTCTTCTTCTGCTTCTTCTTATGATTCTTCTTATGATTCTTCTTGTTCTTACTATTGTGACTGTTATTGCTCTGATAGTTCTTATTGTTTGTTATTCTTGTTGTTATTATTAGTACTATTACAATTCCGATTCTGATTACTCAGATTCTTACTAGTGTTCGCATTCCTCGGCCCATTCGCCAGGCAGGAAAAGACTGGCACTTCCAAGGCCCAGGACTTAAGACCCTCTGATTCAAGCCCAAAGCTTCTTTAGGGTTTAGGGTTTAGGGTTGAGGGTTTAGGGTGTAGGGTTTAGGGTCTAGGGTCTAGGGTTTAGGGATGTGCACTTAGCCAGCGTGCCAGGCGTTTTTTGGCTTTTGGGTTGAAGTGTTCGGGGCTTGCGAGTGTGTCGGTCTAGGACCCAGTGAATCTGGGAGCATTCTACTGATGTTGAGGTCTGTTCAATGCAGAATGGGTGTTGAGGGTTTGATGCTTAGGGCTTAGGGCTTAGGGCTTAGGGCTTCGGGCTTCGGGCTTCGGGCTTAGGGCTTAGGGCTTCGGGCTTCGGGCTTCGGGCTTCGGGCTTCGGGCTTCGGGCTTCGGGCTTCGGGTCAAAAGTTGAAATGACATATAGGGATTACAAGCAGAAGAGGTTGGGCTGGCCTTATCTTCGGGCCTCATTGTCTTGGCTAGTCCATCCTGAAACCCTATCTCCCAAACCCTACACCCTAAAACTTGAACCCTAAACCCTAACCCTAAAGCCTAAACCCCAAACCCCAAACCCCGAACCCTAAACCCTAAACCCCCTAAACCCTAAACCCTCAACTGGGTCTCCGGCCATGCAGCAGGCCACTTGGGTTGGAAGTGGCACCTTGTCACTGCAATGCGTGCGGGCCTTTCCCAAGATAGGGGTTTCGGGTTGTGGGTTGTGGGTTGTGGGTTTAGGGTTTAGGGTTTAGGGTTTGGGGTTTAGGGATTATGGTTCAGGAACCCCTGGACAACAAACAGACTAGAATACTGTGCTCCTTTTGCTAGGAACCCTCCTAGCCCTAATTACACCCTAACCTGCCACTGCCCTAAACCCGAGTATGCTCTCAAGGGCACCAACCTAAACGCTAAACCCTGAACCCTAAACCCGAAACCCTAAACCCCCCCGTCTCCCTAAACCCTTACTGTACTTCCGAAAATCCCCACGTGCTTGGCGGAAGATTCTGCGGAGCTCCAGATGCGTCGCACCTGGAACTGGTTCTTCAAGACCATTTGCTGGGCTTGGCTGCCGGATACGCCTGCGAACGCATGGTGCGTAAACCCTAAACCCTAAACCCTAAACCCTAAACCCTAAACCCTAAACCCTAAACCCTAAACCCTAAACACGCCTTGCCCGATCCTGACACCCACAGAGTTCCCTGCCTTGTGCAAGCTGCGGTCAGCAAGGCCTCGAGAGGCAACCCTAAACTCCCAACCGCCTAAACCCACCCGGTTCGTTTGGGCAGAACTGATTCTTTTTTGGTTGGGTTTTGGGGTTTGGGGTTTGGGGTTTGGGGTTTGGGGTTTAGGGTTTAGGGTTTAGGGTTTGGGGCTTGGGGTTTAGGGCTCAGGGTTTAGGGTTTAGGGTTTAGGGGGAGGGCGGCTGCAGGCTCCCTCAAACCTACCTAGGGCTTCATTGATCCTAAGGGGGAATAGTTGCCCTGACCACATTGCCTTGCATTACCTCCCATAGCGCGACATGACATTGCTCACCACGCACGCCGGGGCAAAAGGCCCTGTGCACGCCCTGCAAACTGAGCCGTGTGCTGTCTGGCTAGTGCTGCAGTTCAAAGCCCGACTTGGTAGAAGCCCCTCCGCCTCTTCACAGCCGTCAATAAAGTCTGTGACACTGGCTTCAGCGTCCCCACATTCCTAGCTTGAAACTCTAAGCCTACGCCTACGCCTAGGCAACATCCACGACAGGGCCGCTCCCTTGCTTCACAGGGGTTTACGTTTGGAATGCTGAGGAACATGAACGAAGTTCCCATGATGAGGGATGCTGAGCACCCCAGAGGGAATCATGCTGTCCCTAAGCCCTAAACCCTAAACCCTAAACCCTAAACCCTAAACCCACAACCCTAAACCCACAACCCTAAATCCTAAACCCTAAACCCTAAACTCACACCAGGGGCACGGCACTCGTCAGAGGAGTCGGACTGCGCGGAAGGGCCGCCTGCCGGAGGTGCTTTCGACTTTTGGCTGGAGTGCGGTTTAGGGTTTAGGGCTTAGGGTTTATGGTGTTGCGTTTAGGGTTTAGGGTTTAGGTTTTAGGGTTTCGGGTTTAGGATATGGTCAGTGCTCGAAATCATGGTCCCTTTTTGGGTACCCTGAACATGGGCCCCCCGCCCGCCTTATAATAGTAATCCCAAAAGAGGCCATAATTTAGAGAAGTGACCAACCCTAAACCCTAAACCCTAAACCCTAAACCCTAAACCCTAAACCCTAAACCCTAAACCCTAAACCCTAAACCCTAAACCCTAAACCCTAAACCCTAAACCCTAAACCCTAAACCCTAATGGGGTTCTGGTTCCAAAGGAGGCTTCATTGCCCACAAGGCAACGTTACAGATCGCTGTCAAAGGCACGCCTCCGCCGGCTGCACCGTCCAAGGCCTCAGGGCCATGTTAGGGTTTAGGGTTTAGGGTTTAGGGTTTAGGGTTTAGGGTTTAGGGTTTAGGGTTTAGGGTTTAGGGTTTAGGGTTTAGGGTTTAGGGTTTAGGGTTTAGGGTTTAGGGTTTAGGGTTTAGGGTTTAGGGTTTAGGGTTTAGGGTTTAGGGTTTAGGGTTGCGGGTTTCGGGTTTAGGGTTTAGGGTTTGACTTTAGGGTTTGCTTCGGGCTTCGGGTTTCGGGCTTGGACTTGTGGACTCGTGCCTCCAGCCTTGGGGACTGGTTGCCAGCAACAGTCGTGGTGCAAGAGCAGCTCTATTATACTGTACAGCGTCCCTCTTTACCTAAGTAGCCCCTAAAGAACCCCTAAATCACCCCCAAGGTCCCTTATATTCGATGGCTGCCAAAACTATGGAGCCCAGAAAGCACAAGTCTTTCTGAGCTGCTCACATGAGCCCGGCTGAACTCGTAAGACGCATGCTTGGAGGTTCATGGTCTAACCAAATTGTAATTGCACATATAACCCAATCATAAGCACATTAGGGTAATAAAGGACTTATAAGTGGGCTATAAATACACTTATAATTGGTTATTCAGCACCACGAACCTCCAAGTACCCGAAATTCTGAAGCCTCAACCTCAACCCTAGTCCAAATTTTCCCAGATAAGCCCTATGTATTCTGTCCTGAGCTTTGAACCAGTGAGCGGCCCACATGTATCCGCAAAACCTAAGCCCTAAATCACACAGCCTAACGTTCCAGGAACCTCCATTCCGACTTCAGAGTTTGTAGAACCCTGAACCCTAAACCCTAAACCCTAAACCCTAAACCCTAAACCCTAAACCCTAAACCCTACAGGGGCTTAAGACGGCTGAAGACGGCGAGGGCCGGGCCGTCCGAGCCGTGGCCAGCGAGCCACCTCCACCCCGCGTGGGTTTAGGCTTTAGGGTTTAGGGTTTAGGGTTTAGGGTTTAAGGTTTAGGGTTTAGGGTTTAGGGTTTAGGGTTAGGAAGTAGGGTTTAGGGTTCAGGGTTCAGGGTTTAGGGTTTAGGGTTCAGGGTTTAGGGTTCAGGGTTTAGGGTTTAGGGTTTAGGGTTCAGCAGCTCCGGATCGAGCAGATTTACGGCTCGGATATAACACCCACCCACCCAGAGAATCCCATAACATTAAAAAACCAAAAAGTGTCTTCGTACAAAAGTTGGGGTGCCCACGTGCCTTGCCCACGATTTTTTGTGCCTTGCCCACGAATTTTTGTGCGGGGTGGGGGGGGTGGGGCGGGGTGGGGGTGGGATGGGGGGTGGGGCCACGTGCCTTGCCCACGAGTTTTTGTGCCTTGCCCACGAATTTTTGTGCCTTGCCCACGAATTTCGGTGCCTTGCCCACGAATTTTTGTGCCTTGCCCACGAATTTTGGTGCCTTGCCCACGAGTTTTTGTGCCTTGCCCATGAATTTCGGTGCGTTGCCACACGAATTTTTGTGCCTTGCCCACGAATTTTGGTGCCTTGCCCACGAATTTTTGTGCCTTGCCACCAATTTGTGTGCCCGAAAATTCGTGGGCAAGGCGCAAAATTTCGTGGGCAAAGGCACAAATTTTCGTGGGCAAGGCACAAGATTCGTGGGCAAGGCACAAAAATTCGTGGACAAGGCACATTTTGTGGTTTTAAGCCTTGCCCAAGGGCCCAAAAATCCGAAACGTGCCTTGCCCACGAGTTTTTTGCGCCTTGCCCACGAATTTTTGTGCCATGCCCACGAATTTTTGTGCCTTGCCCACGAATTTTTGTGCCTTTGCCCACGAAACCCATTAGGGTATATATATATATATATGTGTATAAAGAAAGGTTTAAGGTTTAGGGTTTAGGGTTTAGGGTGTAGGGTTCCGGGTTCAGGGTTCAGGGTTTAGGGTTTAGGGTTTAGGGTTTAGGGTTTAGGGTGTAGGGTTCCAGGACAGTGGGTTCCTGCAGGGCTCTCTTCGAGTTTAGGGTATCTTGGGCCCGCCAAGCTGCAAAGTCGGAACAACATAGTTTCTTCCAGAGCCCAAGTTTGTATATATGAGGATTTTTGCGGGACTTAGGGATTTGGATTGCTTGTTGCGCTTGGGGCCTGCGGGCCTGACGGTACAGTTCCTGTTAAGGCCCTAAACCCTAAACCCTAAACCCTAAACCCTAAACCCTAAACCCTAAACCCTAAACCCTAAACCCTAAACCCTAAACCCTAAACCCTAAACGAGGCGCGCCTGCAGCTGCCAAGGCCTCCTCAGCCCCGCGCAGCTCAGCTCCGATCGGCGCCGCCGCACGGCGCAGGCGACTGCACACGATTTTCGGGTTTAGGGTTTAGGGTTTATAGGGCTTAGGGTTTATAGGGTTTAGGGTTTAGGGTTTAGGGTTTATAGGGTATAGGGTTTAGGGTTTAGGGTTTAGGGTTTAGGGTTTAGGGTTTATGGTTTAGGGTTTAGGTTTAGGGTTTAGGGTTTAGGGTTTAGGGTTTAGGGTTTAGGGTTTAGGGTTTAGGGTTTAGGTTTAGGTTTAGGGTTTAGGGTTGAGGGTTTAGGGGGCTTAGGGCTTAGGCTTAGGGCTTAGGGCTTAGGGCTTAGGGCTTAGGGCTTAGGGCTTAGGGCTTAGGGCTTAGGGCTTAGGGCTTAGGGCTTAGGGCTTAGGGCTTTGCAGGGGCTTCAGGGCTTCAGGGCTGGGGTGTCAGGGCCTCAGGTTTGCGGTGCAGGATTCTTGTTGCTACTAGTAATCCATAGTAATCCTCTAATCCCTAAACCCTAAACCCGAAACCCTAAGCCCTAAACCCTAAACCCTGAAGCCTAAACCCTAAATCCTAAACCCAAACATGAATTATCAGCTTTGGGTTCTTTCAAGGGCTTGGGGATCTAGGTTTATTCGGTTTTGGTCCCTAGGGCGCTCAAGGGGTGTGCACGATTGGCTCTTACACTGCTCTTACATAGGGTTCCCAAGATTTAGGGTTTAGGGATAAGGCTTAGGATTCGGGTTTAGGATTTAGGGTTTAGGGATCAGGTTTAGGATTAAGGTTAAGGATTAAAAATTTAGGGCTTGGGGTTTAGGATTTAGCTTCGGGAGTTCGAGGCTTATATGAGCTGCAGATACTGGGTTGGCGGCGAGGGCCTTTGGCTCGGTTCTGCTTTGAAGCTTTAGGGTTCCGGGTCGAGGGTTTAGGGTCAAGCTTCATCTCCTCCCGAAAGCCCGCAAACCCCGCAAACTTCTGCAAACCCCCCCAAACCCCGCAAACCCCGCAAACCCTGGCGTTAAAACATTCAACCACCCTCAATCCGTGCGGCTAACGATCCACATGAGAATATACCTATCATAGCACTACGGGGAACATCTCATACTAGCGTGCAGGGGGCTGCTTTTCAGATCAGTAGGCGGGGCCAAACGCCTCAAACCCCCAAACCTCTGCAATAAAAATCGACCTCAGGAAGCCATCGCGAATGGCTTGATCTCCGGCCTGAGTTGCATGTACCCAGGAAGAATACAAGGCCTGAGTTATTAGGGTTTTGGGGGTTTTTTAAGTATCACCATAAGGAAATACTAGAATGTGGGGTTTTTTTAAGTATGACCATAAGGAAATACTAGAACACACAGGTGTAGGCGTCTGTGTCTGTGGGATGTAGGATTTAGGCTTTAGGGTTGAGGGTTGGGATATGAGTGCTAAAGCTTGTAGACACCTTTTTGAACTGGGGCCCCTTATCAAGAAGCTCCCGCCAGCTTAGAACAACCCACTAACAACCCTCAGCAAATTCTTTCAGCGTAGCTATAGAATTCAGACCCCATGGTTGCAAATCCCCAACCACTGCGTGTTTGGGCTTTCCCTGAGCTGCCGGGAGGCTCCCCTAAGACCTCCCCCGGCCATTGCAGGACCCTCCCAACGCAAGAAACCTAAGAAGGCCCCCGTTGCTAGGGCTTGGGGGAAAACCCTAAACCCGAAAAGAGAATAGTTCGGGTAGGGGGTGGGTCAACCAAGCTGCGCGAGCACGTGATAGGGAGTGGCCCCTACACCTAAAGAAAAGGCGCACTCCCCGCGCGCGTACACTGACACACACTCTAATTAGACCCGAAACCCTAAACCCTATTTCAAAACCCAAAACCCAAAACCCAAACCCAAAACCCTAAACCCTAAACCCTAAACCCTAAACCCTAACCTTCACCCTCCCCAAACCCGAAAACTGCAATGGGAAAGCTCGACGGACTCAGGTCCCGAGCCGGTGTAGCCGCACCCGACCTGCGAGCTTTCTGACATGAGGGCTTTAGGGTTTAGGGCATATGGTTTAGGGTTTAGGGTTTAGGGTTTAGGGCTTAGGGTTTAGGGTTTAGGCTTTAGGCTTTAGGGTTTAGGGTTTAGGGTTTAGGGTTTAGGGTTTAGGGTTTATAGGGGCTCAAGGGATTTTAGGGCGTTTGGGGCTTTTAGGGTTTGGGTTTGAGGGCTTTTGGGTTGAAGTGTTCAGGTTTCTAGTGCATTTGTCATACGGATTTGCAAAGGGCGCCGTCTGGGGTGATTCTGCTTGGGGTGCTCCCTCCGGAAGTACCCTAAACCCTAAACCCTAAACCCCAAACCTAAACCTTAAATCCCAGCCTGGAACCAGCAGGACGCTTCTTCAGCTCTCCCTCGAAAGCCTGCGCCTTTCGGGATTCTCTTGTCTTGGACTGGCATCTTTCTTGCGTGTGGGGTTTGGGGTTTGGGGTTTAGGGTTTGGGGTTTAGGGTTTAGGGTTTAGGGTTCAGGGTTTAGGGTTTAGGGTTTAGGGTTTAGGGTTTAGGGTTCAGGGTTCAGGGTTTAGGGTTTAGCTATTTTGGAGGGGAGAGGCTTAGAGGTTTTCTGTTGGAGGTTTTTAAGGTTTTCGGGAGTTTGGGGAGTTTAGAGAAGGGGTTTAGGGGTTTGGGTGGTTTGGAGTTCATAGGGTTTATCAGGGTTTAGGGTTCAGGGTTGGGGGTTTCAAGGTTTGGGTTTAGGGTTTGGGGGGAGGGGCGGGGGTTCTATTGTAAAGGTTGCCTTAGCTGAGACAGGGCCTCGGAATCAGAACATCGCCTGAGTGACCTACCCCTTCCCCCCCCCCCCCCTCCACCCGGCTGGCAACCCTAAAGGCAGAAGATTCACCCTAAACCCTACACCCTAAATCCTGTAAACCCTGAACCTTGAACCCTTAAATCCCAAACTGGAGCACCTCCCGCTGAACGGCCGCTCTCACTGACTTCTGGCATGCGGTCTCCTCACAAAGCTTTCAAGATCTTTGGCTTACGGTGTTTTGGGAGTTGGGGGTTTAGGGTTCAGGGTTCATGGTTACCACCCTAACCCCTAAACCCTAAACCCCAAACCCCAAACCCCAAACCCTAAACCCTAAACCCTAACCCTAAACCCTAAACCCTAAACCCTAAACCCTAAACCCTAAACCCTAAACCCTAAACCCTAAACCCTAAACCCTAAACCCTAAACCCTACCACCTAAACCCTAACACGTGGAAACGGCACCCTGCACCCCGTCCTACTCCCTACTCCCTACTCCCTACTCCCTACTCCCTACTCCCTACTCCCTACTCCCTACTCCCTACTCCCTACTCCCTGCTCCCTGCTCCCTGCTCCCTGCTCCCTACTCCCTACTCCCTACTCCTACTCCTACTCCCTCCTACTCCTACTCCTAGCACTCCTATTAAAGGGGAACTGGGGACGATGGAGCTTCTGTCTCTGAGGCACCGGCGAAGTGGGCTGCCTTAGCGTTTGACCGCACGTCATCCAAGAGCCTGGAGGGCTTGGGGCTTGGGGCTTATAGGGTTTAGGGTTTGGGGTTTAGGGTTTAGGGTTTAGGGTATAGGGTGTAGGGTTTGGGGTTTAGGGTGTAGGGTTTAGGGTTTAGGGTTTAAGGGCTTGGGGCCTATGGGGTTTAGAATTACTTGAACTGGCTTGAGGCATGGACCTTACATCCCGAAAGGCTGGATGCTTCACTCCTGGACCCCTCGCCCCTCAAACCTCTCCTCCCCTAATCCCCGAAATCCATGTGTGTGGCACCGACCAACACCTCAACGCTAAACCCGGGAACCCTAAACATTCCGGCCTGGTCATGGTCTGCATGTACATCGCTGATACCTGGGGGAGGGGAGGGAGGGGAGGGGGTAGTGTTTAGGACTTCGGGCACTCTGAAGTTTCAGAGTGGCGGTGTTCAGATTCGCTCACACAAACGGAAAAAGGCCCCCACTGAACTCTGAGGTTCAGGGACGGCGTCCCTAAACACTAAACCCAAACTCCTAAATGCCCCTCAACCCCCAAACCACTCTAACCCCTAACAACCCGTAAAACCCCTAAACCCCTGGACCCTAAACAATCCCTAAATCCCTGAACCCCTAAACCCTTACTAAACCCTCCTAAACTCCTGAACCTCTAAACTTCGGCGAAGATAAGAGGCCGAGCGCAGGTTGTGTTAGCTGCTTTGAGATGTTTCGAGTAGTTGGCTACGGGTTTAGGGTTTTGGGTCTAGGCTTCACCGAATGTTCCAAAATGGACCAGGGGCAACTCAATATGCTAATGTGCACGCTAAGCCCTCTGTAAGGTTTGAATAGAAAGCTGTGTGGAGCAGGGAGTGAAACCAGCAGCGGTAGCCAGCTAGTTGCTGATCTGGGTAGGTCCAGATCCCAGGCAGTTCTTTTGAAGAACTGGCAGCGGTCGCTCAACCCTAAACTCTAAGCCCTAAGCTCTAAAACCCTAAACCCTAAACCCTAAACCCTAAACCCTAAACCCTAAACTGAAGACCGGCCCCCTTTCCAGCGATAGGGGCCGGTCGTTAGCAGGCCACCGGCAGGGGCCTGCGGACCCGTAGGCGAAGGCCGACAGGCGAGCCGTAGGGTCCTGGACCTCAGGTCCACGCGGCTTTGCAAAGGCCGCCTGTGTCAGCCTATATAGCAATAACCCTAAGCCTTGGTGCAAACGACCGGGCAGGCTTGAAAACCTCCCCTGGGCTGAGGACCCGACATTAAGGCCCGGAAACTTAAATTAAGGTTTGGGAACTTAAAATTAAGGCCCGGAGGCTTAAGTTGTGGGTTTGGGAACCCAAAAGTAAGGCCCGGAAGCAGGCTTGAATTAAGGGCTTGGGGACCTAAATTGAGGCTCGGAAGCTTAAATTAAGGCTTGGGGCCCAAGATTGAAGCCTGGAGGCTCAAATTAAGAGGCCCAACATCAAGGTTTAATTTAAGCCCGGAGGCCTTGAATGAAGGATTTGAGGTTAAAATCAAGGCCCGGAAGTTTAAAATAAGGGTTTGGAAACTTAAGGCCCGGAGGCTTAAATTAAGGGTTTGGGAATTAAGGCCCGGAGGCTTGAAATAAGGGCTTGGGGATTTAAAATGAAGGCCCAAAGGCTTAAATTAAGGGTTTGGGGGCCTTCGTTTTTTGCCGGCAGCTTGAATTACAGGTTTGGGGACTTCAGGTTAAGGCACGGAGGCTTCAATAAAAGGTTTGGGCTCATGAAGTCCTGGAGGCTTCAAAAGTATGGCCGACTTCTGCGGGTGTCCCGAAGCAAGTTAAAAATTGCATGAGGCATTGAACATGCCTTGAAAGTTTGCCAAGGACCACGGAGTGGAGTCGACGAGCCTGCCGCTTTTGCCACACCCACTCCTGAAAGGGCTTGAAAGTCCTCGAGAGACCCCAGCCTTGAAAATGCTTCGAAGAATCGCGGAGTGGAACGGACTCGAGACTGCTGACGGTTGTTCTTTCTGGAGCCAAATATCTTCTCATGATTTTGACACGGTTGCTGAACGACTGCTTCTGCTCCACCAAACCATATATCCCCCCTTGATAGGGGGGTAGGAGGGTAGACAGCCCTAAACCCGTCTGAGGTTTGTATTTTGGGTGGGAGGGTGGGCATTGCAGCTCATGCGCCGACCCCCAACCACTTCATGGAGGGGGTCGATGCGCACTCGTACCCTAAACCCTAAACCCTAAACCCTAAACCCTAAGCCCTAAACCCCATAAAGCTCGGAGAGCCTCCTTCAGGGCGCTGTCCATGGCCGCGCGCACTTCCGGAAGTCCGCCGGACTCAGCAGGTTTGGGGAGGTGTTTCGGGTTTAGGGTTTAGGGTTTAGGGTTTTGGTTTAGGGTTTCGGGTTTCGGGTTTAGGGTTTAGGGTTTAGGGTTTAGGGTTTAGGGTCTTGGGGTTTTAGGGTTTAGGGTTTAGGGTTTAGGGTTTTGGGGAGGGTGTTTTCCAAGGGGGGGATCATAGCAAAAACCAATGAAGAGCAATTTTGGCGCCATTCGCACACTTTGACACAATTGCTTAAAACCCGAGGATAATTTGCAAGTTGGAACTGCACCTCTATAAGCAACAAACCTACAAAGCAGGCTTTGGGGTTAAAGGGCTTTGGGTTTAGGGGTTAGGGTTCAGGGTTTAGGGTTTCGAGTTTAGGGTTTAAAGACTTCAGGTTGTAAAGGTTGTGGGGCCCTAAACCCTAAACCCTAAACCCTAAACCCTAAACCCTAAACCCTAAACCCTAAACCCTAAACCCTAAACCCTAAACCCTGCAACATGCATCTCGCGCTTGCCAGCAGGCTCCTCAACAACGACGGTTTGTCTCAGCTTGAGATCTTCCCCCTTATACGAACAGTCCTTAATAGGGATTATAATTGGCGGGCTCAAGACCCCTAATTATTAAAGACTCTTTTTCCCTCAACTTGAGATCTTCCCCCTTATACGAACAGTCCTTAGTAGGGATTAGAATAGGCGGGCACTAAACCCCTAATTCTTATGACAAGACTGTTAGTATAAGGGGGAATATAAATAGGTGGGCTCTAGACCCCTAATTATTAATATAAAGCTGTTAGTATGAGGGGGAACATCCCACCTAAAACTTACTCCTTTGGTGGCTTGGGGTTATGATATTGCGGACAAAAGGCCCCTTCTGAGGTTCGTTGGTTCGCAGCCGCCAGAACAGGGCGTTTGGCGCATAAAGCCCAACCCGAAACGATGAACCCCACGCCTCGAACCAACAAGCAACATGGCGGTGATCGAGGAACTTCAGGTACCGCTGAGGAGCGACTTGTCGTCCGGAGCAACAAGCAACTCAACCCTCATACGGGGTAGGGCGTAAGGAAGGGGTGTCGCGACCATTTAATCCCTAAACTCGAAACCCTAAACCCTACACCCTACACCCTACACCCTAAACCTTTTAATCCCCTAAACTCGAAACCCTAAACCCTACACCCTACACCCTACACCCTACACCCTAAACCCCGAGTTTGGGGTTTAGGGTTCAGGGACCCTAAACCCCAAACCCTAAACCCTAAACCCTGAACCCTGAACCCTAAACCCTAAACCCCACAAAAGGGGCTCCCTGGGCTACAAACGCGCCTGGAAGAGCTCGCGAACCCGCTCTGCGGCGGCCGTCCCGCACCAGTCCCGGTAGTCCTCGCGGAGAGCCTCTTCGCTCAAAGCAGCTTCAGCTTTGGGAGGGGTTTAGGGTTTCGGATTTAGGGCTTGGGGCTTAGGATTTAGGGTTTAGGGTTTAGGGTTTAGGGGGATCTGAGAAGTGGTTCTGGATTTGGGGCACAAGCTTTTATGACAAACTCTGGGTTCTTAAGGTCAGAGCCTTTGTGTTTTGGGGAGCGTTGTCACTACTCGTCCTGCTTCAGGGTTTTGTGGTTGTGGAAGGCGCAAGAGATGTCAAAGGCCTACAGGCCCCTTGTTCTGAGAGGCTGAAGCTGTTTAGGGTTTAGGGTTTCGGCCTTCCAAGCTTAGGGTACCCTTTGAACCTTAAACCCTAAACCCTAAACCCTAAACAGATGCAACCTGTCCCGCGAGCCACTTCTTCTGCGCTGCCTTTCCGAAGAGGCTGCCTAAGCGGACCCGAATTATCGTCTCAGCTCCCCTGCCTCCCCTCTCCAGTGCTCTAGGCGCCAACTTCACTGGCGAACCCTAAACCCTAAACCCTAAACCCTAAACCCTAAACCCTAAAACCCCAACTCTCTCGTCCGATAGCTCTAAATGCTTGACTCGTCATGGCCCCGAAATCGGAAGCAGCGGAGGGCTTTCCTTTTTTGGATCGGCCAGAGCCGATGACCGAAAAGGCAGACGATGGCCCACACAGGCAACCTTTGCAGGCACAGTACATGCCTCATATCTTGCTCCCTCAAGCCCTACACCTTAGCCCACCTTACATGAAGCCCTCAGTGCAAGGCGTAGAAGGCGCTGGGGGGCCAGCAAAGCCTCGTGAAACATGGCGCCGGCGGTCGCCGTGGCCGGCTTTCTTTAGCGTCGAATTGCGGGTTTCCTTTCTGCATCGGGGCAAAGTTGCCTCCTGGGTTCGAGCCTTATAAGGGCGTGTGAAGAGTGGGTTTAGGGTTTAGGGTTTTGGGGTTTTGGGGTTTTGGGGTTTTGGGGTTTAGGGTTTAGGGTTTAGGGTTTAGGGTTTAGGGTTTAGGGTTTAGGGTTTAGGGTTTAGTGTAGTCTCTGTGGGGAAGATCCGTGTGTGCAGGACAGCTGCAACTCTCAGGCAGAAAGGAGAGTTGCCTGGCTGCTTGCCCATGGTCATGTGCATGGGTCACCTTTGTGCCACATCCATATGCACCAATGATGCTCTGAATGTGGCTCTGGATTCCGGTTTTGTGGCCTCAACGTCCATCAAACATTGCTATCCCAGTGAACAGCTAACCGGCTCCTATGAGGCCACTGGACTTGCTTGGCAGTAGCATGGCCTTCAGACCTATGCCTCACCAGCTGCAAAATTGCGAAGGTCGCCAACCGCAACGCAGAAGCAGCATCGCTGCCGCCATTTGCTGGTGGTGATGGACTCTGATACCTTCTAATATAGATGGGGTCGGAATAATTACGAATAGAGGAGTATTCCCTTATGGTCCCTGTTGTACTTATACTAGGATATCCCCCAAAACCCTATTCTAACTATGAAAGCCCCTATAGCAACCCTGAACCCACTCAGTCATGAATTTCGTGCTGAGGGTTCACATGGCTATAAGAGGTGAGATGGGAGGGGGAGGGCACCATAATCGCAATAAGCCTAAACCCTAAACCCCAATCATTGGGTAGGCCTTGGACGTTCATTCATTGGCTGGGTTAAGAGCAGCTACCGAGGTTTTCAGCGGGGGTTAGATGGCCAACTTCAATCAGGTCCCAAGGTGTAGGGGTCTGAAGAGTTGGAGCTCCTAACTGCTTGGGCTCCTCGAGCTTAAAGGAAGCGATGCGCTCTACCACAGAATCCCACAGAATCCTCTCTTCCCTGGTTTGAATTTTGGGGGCTTGGCAAAGCAAATACCCCGAGTGAACCTCTCCACATCGGCTCCCAGAGTCCCCTTGCTTGGACTACCGGATCCTCTCAATGCGCGCAACCCACGCCCAGGCACTAACAGCGCAGCGCGCGGTCTCGGATGCGAGCCTTCAGGAAAAGAACCCTGAGCCCTAAACCCTAAACCCTAAACCCTAAACCCTAAACCCTAAACCCTAAACATCCCGAAGCCTAAGCCCTTAACCTTCTGTGAGATCCAAGAGATGCTCAGCCCAAGACCCCACGTCCATTTGACTAGAACTCCTCACATTGAGCACTCGCCACCCATCTGCTCAGTAGCCTCAGAAGCCAGGGTTGCATTTTGGGGAATCGGAGGTTTGGGGTTTAGGATTCAGGGTTTAGGGTTTGGGGTTTAGGGTTTAGCGTTGAGGGTTGAGGGTTTAGGGTTTAGGGCTTAGGGTTTAGGGTTTAGGGTTTAGGGTTTCGGGTTTAGGGTTTAGGGTTTAGGGTTTAGGGTTTATGGTTTATGGTCCCTGAACCCTAAACCCCGAACTCCAAATCAGCGCCAAATCCATGCTAGTTTGACGACATTGGATGAACCCTAAAGAGTTGTCTTTCTGCGATGCAAGCCCCAAGAGCCCCTGACCTAAAAATCCGCAGCGTTTCAATACCCTTCACGAAAACCGGGTTCGAGGTTCGTTCTCAGGAAGCTCTTAATCAGGGGTGTGACAACCATAACCTATAACAACTCTCTTAAAGAAGCCCTGAAACCTATGCCTCAAACTCTAGGGCTTTGTGTAGGTTAAGCATCCCCTTTTGGGATTTAGGTTTAGGATGTAGGCTTCGGAAGCCCACTAGAATCTCACTAGAAGCACCCCAAACCCCCAACCACAGACCACGCACCCTCGTAGCTGCCCCAAAGCCCCCCCCCCCCCCCGATCGAAAAAAAGCCGCCAAGCCCCAACATAGGGGTCGGCATAACTACTAATAGTCTTCCCTCATGGTCCCTTTATAAATGTACTGTAATAACTCCCAAACCCTATTCTAATACCCGAAACCCTAAACTCTAAACCCTAAACCCTGAACCCTAATAAGAAAGCCCCTATATTACATCTCAGGGCGCTGCTGGAACCTTCTTCCGGCTGGGGCAACCTTCGGTGTGGGCCTGCTGTCATCTCCTGCAGATCTTCTGGGGTTTCGGGTTGCGGGCTTCGGGTGGCTTCAGGGAACCTGGACCCGAAACCAACCCTAAACCCCAAACCCTAAACGCTAAACCCTAAACCCTAAAACATAAACCCTAAACCCTGAACCCTGAACCCTGAACCCTGAACCCTAAACCCCAAACCCCAAACACTAAACCCTAAACCCTAAAAACCAAACCCTGAACTTCGTAAACCTTAAAAGCCCTGAATCTTTTGCAGCTGGACTCATGCCAAGTCTCAAGGCCTGTGCACCAGCTCCCTCTATCCCGAAGCCCGAAACACGAAAGCCCTTAAACCCAGGGTTTAGGGTTTAGGGTTTAGGGTTTAGGGCTTAGGGTTTAGGGTTTAGGGTTTAGGGTTGAGGGTTTAGGGTTTAGGGTTTAGGGTTAGGGTTTCGGGCTAGGGGGCCCCGGGTTTAGGGTTAGGGTTTCGGGTTTAGGGCTTAGGGTTGAGGGCTTAGGGCTTAGGCTTCTGCACCTCCCTCGACCCCGCACCCAAAGCTTCAGCCTAAAACCCTAAACCCTAAGCCCTAAACCCTGAACCCTAAACCCGAAACCCGAAACCCTAAACCCTGCTCGGGCGCACCCGTCGCAAGGCTTCCAGGACCATCTCAATGGTGTAGTCGCCTCGGAGGAGTTTGATTACACCAGGACTCTAAACCCTCAGCCCAAAACCCTAAACCCTAAACCCTAAACCCTAAACCCTAAACCCCAAACCCCAAACCCCAAACCCCAAACCCTAAACCCAAACCCGGGTAGCAGGTAGGGTGGAGGGGGGGGGGGGGGGGGCGCCTGGGCCCTGAACTCTGGCTTAGGGTTTAGGGCTTCAGGTTCACTGCAACCACAACCTTTCCGATTTGGGTTTAGGGGTTACCGGTCAGGGTTTAGCGCAGCGTTCACTGCAACCACAGCCGTTCGGTGTAGGGTTTAGGGTTCACTGCAACCACAACCTTTCTTTAGGGTTTGGGGTTCAAGGATTCGGGTTCGGGTTGAGGACGCCGCCAGACATTGGGGATTCTATGCTACTGGGAGCGGTGGGCGGCCTCCGGAACGAAACTTTCATGAAGGGGGGGCAGGTTAGAACGGGGAGCCTGACCGTAAATGCTTTACCCTACGCACTAAACCCCAGACCCG